CAATCCTGGGAGGTGAGTTGGGCCAACAGAATATCTGGCTCAAGACTACCCAGCTGGCTTTTGTCTAAGGCAGGACTAGAACTCCCTGCCTCCTGGTGACTGGCTGAAGGTCACCCAGCTGGCTTTTATGCCTAAGGCAGGACTAGAACTTCCTGTCTCCTGGTGATTGGCCCAAGGTCACCCAGCTGGCTTTCATGCCTAAGGCAGAACTAGAATTCCCTGTCTCCTGGTGATTGGCTGAAGTTCACCCAGCCAGCTTTCATATTTAATGCAGGACCAGAACTCCCTGTAGCCTGGTGACTGGCCTAAAGTCACCCAGTTGGCTTTCATTTCTATGATGGAACTAGATTTCCCTGTCTCCTGGTGATTGGCGTAAAATCACCCACTTGGCTTTCATTTCTATCATGGAACTAGATTTCCCTGTCTCCTGGTGATTGGCGTAAAGTCACCCACTTGGCTTTCATTTCTATCATGGAACTAGATTTCCCCGTCTCCTGGTGATTGGCCCAAGGTCACCCAGCTAGTTTTCATACGTAATGCAGGACTAGAACTCCCCATCGCCTAGTGATGGACCTAAAAGTCACTCAGCTAGCTTTCATTTCTATGATGGAACTAGATTTCCCTGTCTCCTGGTGATTGGCCCAAAGTCACCCAGCTGACTTTCATGGCTAAGATGCTACTAGAACTCACGATCTCCCGCTTTCTAGCCTGGTGCCCTCACCGCTGAGGGGCTTCTGGAGAACGGCCATCCCTGTGCAGTTTTCTACATCTTTGGGGTTGTTTATATTGGTTATAATAAATCCATTGATCTACAGCAAATGTCGGATCGTTTAGATGATCTCAGGCACGTTTATGGCTCAGATTCAGCCTTCCTCACTGCTAACATCGGGGCAATGTCCCTGGCCCACTTCATAGGGCTCTCTGAGTGCTCTTTAAAGCAGGTGAAACAATTGAAACACTAAAAATATATTGATATGCAAAATATACCTTCCTTGCCCAGCCAAGTGGGAGAAGCCATTGGGACAACTATGGGATCCCCACAGGTGACTGTATACCCCGAGGCTTCAGCTGAGACAGTTGAGGGAAAACAGCAGCTGCCTTTATAAAGTCGTTCATCACCGACTTTGGGGTGACTCATCCACAACTCCACCTAGGCCTGGGAGCAAGGAAGTGAGACCATGGCCAGGAAGTAGTAAGGAATTGCAACATAAGCCTACAAACCCAGAAAATTTCCGTAGTCAGATTTCATTCGGCGGAAGAGCCTGTATTTCACTTCCCCTGGACTTATCTATAACTTCTTATTTGTTTACCCAGGAGATAAATCTTCACTTACTCATAATTTTAGTCGTCTTGCCAAATTAGTAACAGTAATGAAACAAAAGATCCCTTCGGACGGATTGCTGGTTTCCCTTTGCCAACCTAATGCCTTTTCGACACGTCGGCTAAACTTCGGCATACTGTAGTTCGGCATCAGAGCACATGATGCGATGTTTTTTCGGGCTGTTGTGTTATTAAGGCTTGTCAAACTCGATTTCATTGAGGGCCGCTTCAGGGTTGTGTTTGACCTTGGGGGGCTAGGGGGGCCATGACCAGCTCGATGTCACTTGTGTCGGGGGCATCTGTGATGGCCTGAGTGCTTTGCCAGTGAGAATGGGCTGCCGAGCTCCGTTTTCGCTGGCAGAAGCACCGGCCAGTCTGCTGTTTCCAGGGTGGCTCTGTGGGTCAGATCTAAGCACCCCGAGGGCCGAATCCGGCCCCCGGGCCTCGAGTGTGACACCCCTGCTCTATACCATTTTAGACAAATGGTTGTCCAATCTCTTCTCAGCCAGATGTTTAGACTGGATGTTGACTTTTTCTTCACCTATCAAGTCCTTCCCAAGGACCTAGGATAGGCACAGGTTCCTGTTGATTGGTGCTAAGGGTATCGTCTCAGGATATACGTTGTTCCAAATAATATTGCCTTTTGCAATTGACTGATTTTGTTACTTTATTAGTTCGATTTTATTTATTAGTTCAATTTTTATATATGCCGCCCTTCTCCGGAGACTCAGGGCGGTTTACAATGCATTAAGCAATAGCCTTCATACTTTTGTATATACCAAGGCTCAGTGGACTATGCTGATAGTATTCAAATGGTGCTCCAGTTGTTTTGGGATTGCACTCAAGGCACCTGGTACTGTCATTGTTTCCGCTTGCCATAGTCATTCTATTATTTCCCCCCCCCCCATTCTACACATCCTTTCTAGTCAAAATTGGGGATTCAAGGAAATTATTGTCCAGGAATACCATTTGGGTTTGGGAAAGGCTGTCCTAAATACCGACATTTTTCTATTGTTACCAGCTAAAGCACCTAATTGTCTTTGGATGATGTAGGACTGGACATAGTCCTCAACTTAGGACCACAATTGAGCCCCAAATTTATATTGCTAAGCGAGACATTTGTTAAGTGAAATCTGCCCCGTCTTACAAGCTTTCTTGCCACAGTTGTTAAGTGAATCGTTGTAGCTGTTAAGTTAGTAACACGGTTGTTAAGTGAATCTGGCTTCCCCATTGACTTTGCTCGGCAGAAGGTCCCAAAAGCTGATCACATAACTCCAGGAATCTGCAACCGTCATAAATGTGAACCAGATGCCAAGCGTTTGAATTCTGATCATGTGACCATGGGGATGCTGCAATGGTCATAGGTGTGAAAAACAGTCATAATTCACATTTTGCCATGTTGTTGTAACTTTGGTTACTAAACAAACTGTTGTAAGTTGAGGAATGAAATGGAAATCTCAGGTTTTAGGCCAGATAAAGACAGATGGGGTGCCAAGAAAATTACCCAGACTTGTCCATGAAGTCATCAGTTCTTCCTCGCATTGTAATTTCTATTCATTACCCCACTGAGACAGAAACCTCTGTCCTATAATCAACTGACCCTAATTTTTAAAGAATGTAAACCACAAGCGGAACGAACCATGACACCCCTTAAAAGATATCCAGAATTAACAATTCCTTCAGTGATTAAAAGCTATCCTAATGTGGTTGCTAATAAAGCAGCTTTTAATTGTTTTTTTTAAAACTTAATTTAATTTGAAGTCATCAGATCCTGTCATTCGGGTTCCTCTGTCTAAAGGAATTCAAAATTATGCATAAATGGCATGAAAACCTGATACTGCTTTGTGGGAAACAAAGGGTTGAAATTGTAGGCACCGTGGAAGAAAAATCCTGAAAACAAGGTTTCAGAGCAAGCCCACATTCAAGATGGCTAACAATAAAAACCATAAACAAGATCTAAAAAACAATAAACATCCATATTAAAACTGTACAAGAAAAGTCCCATCAATTCACAACGATGAATTCACCCCATTCATTATTTTGAAAACATATGGATTTTTTTACTACAATAATTGTTTATTTATTAGATGGGGAGAACATGCAGCCAAATATCTATTACCAGGATTTGTTCCTGTTATTGAAGAATGGTTGAGGATTTGTTTCTCCTCAGAGGAATTGTGCTCAGAGGAGAAATAAAACTCGGGAGTGTGTAAGCAGTGAAAAGGGTTATCCTACTCAATTTTTAGATTGATTGGGAGAAACTGCAGTAATCCAAATTGTCTCTTCCAATAATTGAAATTGTTATATAGAAATGGGAGGAGAGGGAAGTTTAAAAAGGGGAGCTTTTTCAGTCTTCCTCAACATTTATTCCCTCAATGTTGGATTATCAATTCTCATTTCTGTAACTACTATAATCCACACATCTGGGAAGCAACCCGGTAAACAGGAAATGGCGATGTGAACACACGAACAAAAACACACAAGCACGCACACACTTGCTTGCTCATGCTATTCTTTATAACCATGACTCCTTTAAACAGAAGTACAAATCCGGAAAAGAGAAGGGAAACAAACAAAAAGGCTTGAATTCTGCCCAAGACAACACCCCCAAAACCCTTGTAACATCTAAAAAGTGCTCTTTAAAGGTGTGACCAGGACCACCCCCCAATTTAACCCGACGAGCAATAAAATGAGCAATAGCTAGCAAAAAAAAAAAAAAATCTGGAAAAAGAGGAAGATGGGGGGAAAAAACCGTCCCAAAGGCTTATATATACAGTCATTCTGACCAAAACAACAACAACAAAGAAATCCTCCTGCCTCTGAAAAGCGCTACTTAGCACCAATTTAAACCCCAACCTAAAAATGAGCAGCAAAAACCATCCACATGTTGTTTAGCAGAAGTAATCAGATCCCCCCTGAGGGTGGGTGGATGGATGGGTGGGTGTAGGATTTATTCCGAGAAGCTCGATTTCTCAGAACTGGGTTTGAGATCTACCCAGTTTGGTGGCACTTCCTCAGCAGGAACCCAGCCAGGACTGCGGTGCTTTGTTTACTTCTATCTAGACCGAGGGATTTTTAGCGTCTGTCGCCTGGTTGGTACGTGTCTACTGGGAAGAAAGTCCCCTCTTATTTTCTCCTATGCTCAGGTGGGTTACCCAGGAGGAGGGCAGGCATCCCAAGCTGGAAGGGGCCACACTTGAGATTTCCAGCCTCCTTTCCCCAGTTGTGTTTCCCCCCCCCACTTTGATCTTTTTTTCTTTTTTTTAAACTTTCTTGGTTTTCACCTTTTTGAAACTGGCTCACTTGAAGATGCTGTTTCCTGGTTCCCCCATTTTGGGCTTCCAGGATTTTCACCTCTTTGCCCTGCTGCTTCACAGAAATTTGCCCATTGGATCCTAACCCCAACATTTTAACCTAAGACTGTCTACGGTTGACCTCACCCCATTCCTAAGAGGCCTGTAAGAGGTGTGCATAAGCGCCCCAAGATGCCTACCGTCCCTGTCCTAATATTCTCTTTATTTGTATTCATTTTACGTATTCAATTCATGCTTATACTTACATATATTACCTAATAGGTACTTGACAAATAAATAAATAAATGAATAAATGAATAAATAAATAAATAAATCTCTACCATCCCAAAACAAAGTGTCTGGACTTGGCCTCTTACCTGGTTATCCTTTACCTGGCTGGGGATGATGGGAGCTGTAATCCAACCTCCCATTTAGAGACCACCAAAGAGAGGAGGGTGCCCTCCCCAAACAGTCACCCACACAGAGGCAGCCCCCTTTCCTTACCTTGAAATAGCCACCCTCGTAATGCGTATTGGGAGGCCCGAAGATGGCCACCTCCCAGTTGTAGAGGTCCCCCTCGTCCACCAGGCTGACTCGGAAGCCCTCCACGGGCTCCTCCTGAAGCCCTTTCAGCTCCAGCAGCAGGGCCTTCTGCGAGCTGGGCACAGACAGCCGCGCCATGTCACCGGCTTGACGGAGGAGGCGATAAAAGGACGTAGGCCTCGAGCGAAGCCGGGGACTCGCGTGAATGCGCCGGCCGCGAAAGGGGAGGGGGGAACCGGGCGGGAAAGCAGCGCCGGGCCGGGCAGAGGAAAGGAGAAAGAACGGAAGCGCTGCGGACCCGAAAGAGCGCCACGAACAACCGCACCACTGAGAGGCGGCGGCACGACAACAGAGAGCGCGCGCGCGGTGCTCCCTGGGACGCGTAGTTCTTGATGGGAGGGAGGGATGTGGAGGGGGAAAAAAAAAACCGCCGCCTTTCTCCACCAATGAGAGACGGATTTCCGGAGAGGGCGGTCCGGAGAGCGTGGAGACGACTACATCTCCCAGCAAGACTTGAGAGCAGCGCCTTTCAATGTAGCCTCCCGCCCGCCCGCCCACGTGAGGCCGGACTACAATTCCCGACAGCGAGCGGGGCCAGGGGGCGGAGCACGCACGCGCCCTCGTGAGAAAGTTGGCTCGGCTGGGGAATTGCCCATCCGAAGTTGTTTATTTAGATTTTTTTCCCCCCCTCCCAGCACCGGACGGTAAACACGTGTCCCCGCGTGTGCAATAAGTGTGTCACGGGGATGCGTTGTGTCATACAGAGAGACCTATTGGCAACGCTCACCCAACCCGCCTGAGAACAGCTGAACTCTTTTATTTATATGGGGTTTTTTTGCACCGCAAAAGGTTGATCAAGGTTACAATTTAGGGGGGAAAAATGCAATAATTCCCTCTTTTCACCGGCCCTGTGAAGGTTGCTGTGCATCATCACACCTTGTGTCTCTGCGTTGATGCATTTCACCGGGAAGATTGGCTGACTTGACCACATTTTCCTAATCCGGGTTGCTTATTCAGGCATAGTTTAGGTCAGGGGTCCGTAACCTTAAACACTCAAAAGAGCCATTTGAAGTCTTTTATGATCATTTTTACTTTACTTTACTTTTATTTAATTTGTATACCGCCCTTCTCCCGAAGGACTCAGGGCGGTGAACAGCCAACAATAAAATACATACATACAAAATTTAAAAAACAGAAATAAAATGGAATTAAATAGTTTGGCCCAGACAGATTAAAACCCCAATCAATTTAAAACAGATTTAAACTTTGAAAATTAAAAGATATTAAAAATATTAAAATATTAAAATTGTTTAAAAAGAGGGAGAAAGTTAGGCCAGGCCCGCCTGGTGAAATAAAATGGTCTTTAGAGCGCGGCGGAAGGTGCGCAGATCCAGGATCCTCCGTATCTCCGGGGGGAGCTCGTTCCAGATAGTAGGTGCCCCCACAGAGAAGGCTCTCCCCCTGGGGGCCGCCAGTCGACATTGTTTGGCCGACGGCACCCGGAGGAGTCCCTCTCTATGAGAGCCGGTGGGAGGCTATTGGTGGTAGTAGGCGGTCCCACAAGTACCCAGGTCCTGAGCCATGGAGCGCTTTAAAGGTGGTAACCAAAACCTTGAAGCGCACCCAGAAGACCACCGGGAGCCAGTGCAGCTCGCACAGGAGGGGTGTTACATGGGAGCGCCATGTCGCTCCCATTACCACCCGCACGGCCGCACTCTGCATCAGTTGGAGCCTCCGAGTGCTCCTCAAGGGGAGCCCCGTGTAGAGAGTGTTACAATAGTCCAGGCGGGAGGTGACGAGGGCATGAGTGACCGTGCGTAAGGAGTCCCGATCCAGAAAGGGACGCAACTGGCGAATCAGGCGAACCTGATGAAAAATCCTCCCGGTCACGGCCTTCAAGTGCTCTTCTAAAGACAGCCGTGAATCCAGGAGGACGCTCAATACTTTTAAGGGTTTGTCTTTTCTTCACATTTCTTTTCCGTGTATAATCAATGATTAATCCTCTGGCAAAGGCTTTCATTGTATCCCAACGGTTTTGTATCGATGTTTCTTATTCTCCTTGGAAAAAAAGTCCAATTCTCGTTTCATTTTCTGTGTAAAATCTTTCTCTTTTAATACGCATTGTAAGCCGCCCTGAGTCTCCGGAGAAGGGCGGCATATAAATCAAATTAAATATATATACATATATATATTGTATTGTTCAATGTCCATCTAGATCTGCCTTTTCGCCCTTTCCAAATAGCAGTCACTGGATTATGATCCGCCCATGTATTAGTATCTATATTCACTTGTTCAATATTTAAAGTCAATTCCATTGTTGCCCATATCATATCCAATCTGGACCAAGATAAGTGTCCGTCAGAGTATATTGTCTATTTTTCCCATTTCTCTCCCTCCAAATGTCTTTCAAGTTTATTTCCTCTCTCATTTTAAAGAAGGTCCTCGGCAATATCTTTCTACTATATCTTGTTGTTCTACTTGTTTTATAGTCCAGTTTTTCATCTACAATTCCATTAAAAGTCCCCCATCATGCAAACATTTTCATACTCCATTTCAATTATCTTGTTATGTAATTTCCTGTAAAAATCACTCTGATTATTGTTAACGGCCGTATATTACTACTAAAAGTAGTTTTGTATTGTTATCAATTAATTCCACCATCAAAATTCTGCCATCTGGGTCAGCATACTTCTGCTCAGCTGTAAATATATTTCTAATATACAGAGCAAAACCTCTTTTTTTACTTTGTGCCAATGATAGAAAAGTTTTACCAAGTTTTGGTTGAAGATCGCCTAACTTGACCATTTTCTTAACTCGGGTTGCTTATTCAGACATAGTTTAGGTCAGGGATCTGTAACCTTAAACACTCAAAAGAGCCATTTGGACCTGTTTCCCACAGAAAAGAAAACACCGGGAGCCACAAAACCCTTCCTGTGCCTGACTATTTCTTGAGCAGCCACAAAACTAGCGTATGTTGTTGAATTAAACGTTATGTTTTCTTCTGAAACTTTTCTTTTTTTGCATTTATCCATGGTTGGCCTATCGGGGGTTGAAAAGCTCAGTAAATCACATGCGGGTAGGTGTTACACGTTGGTTGTGACACATATCTTGAGTGACAAGGAGCCGCAGCAGAGGGGTGAAAGAGCCACATGCGGCTCCAGAGCTGACTCCAGTTGCTGACTCCTTGTTTAGGTCTACGCTTGTGAGACAAAAAGCTTTATTACTCTCTTAATGTCTATGGAGATTCTCAGCCATCCAGGTCATGGTTGTCCCAAAGGTGCTTTTTCAAGAGGCAACTGGATTTTCTTGTTTTTTCTTTGGAAGAAGTTTCACTTCCCATCCAGGAAGCTACTTGAGTGGATGGTGGGGAACGGAAGGATTTATATTCCTTGCAGACAGCTGGTCATTTGCATTCTTTTAGAGAGTATTTGAGGCCACTTGGAGGTTTAATCTATGTCCTCAGGGTCACCTGAGTGGTGCAAATGGGTGTGGAGCCTTCTTGGCTGCAGGATGTTTTCTGGCCTGGGTCCCTTCCCTGTTGAAATCAGGAACAGGCTGTTGGGGATGAGCCTGTGTTGGCTGCATCTCAAACTGAAGTGCAAATGATTCCTGTAGTCTGCATTTTTTTTCTGGAAATCCGTTCATACTCTCATACTCCACCATTTGAAGGGTATTCATCCCAAAGTGCATAGCTAAAAGTCTACGGAGATTCTCAGTCATCCAGGTCACGCTTGTCCCTGTAGGAAGTTAGCACCCACCCCTTTCCTGGAAGAATGAAATATTTTAGGAAATATTTAAAAAGACAGAATATTATGTTTCCCTGGTTGAGAAATGGAGAAACATGTTTTAAAGACAAAGCAACTCCCACCTTCCTGCCTCCCTGCCTTTGTTAATGGGCCAGAGGTAGAAACTCAATCTTTGACAATAGGACCCATCTGCAACACAATAGCAACAGAAACTCACCACATGGCACCTGGGAAGATTACATCAGCCAGCAAGGCTAGCTAAGACCCCCACCCCCTGGGAGTCTGACAACCAATCAGGATACTATTTCGGGGCCGCAGGAAGTTCAAAGCCAGAGAAAGCATAAAACCTGGGGACTCGCTGTATCTCGCCCCTTTTTCTGTTCAGGAACTCAAACCATGTGATCCTGTCCACCATTAAACCATCTTTCCAAGCAAGTCTCCATGTTTCCAGTGTCTTTTTCTCCACTTGGAGTTGAACCCAGAAGGATATTTCTTCCAACATCCCAAAGGTGCTTTTTCAGGAAGCAACTGTACATTCTGTTTTTTCTTTGGAAGAATTGTGGGAAGAAATTTCCCTGGTTCCTTCCCAGCTGGGAAGCAGTCACCAACGGTGGGAAGAAATAGGCATGGAAGCAGCTGCCAGAAAAGGGATCCTTTAATTCAGGAAGGCAAGAAGAGGAGTGACATAGCTAGAACGTTTCTGGGTTGCAAGCAAAGTGGCCTGATAAGTGTATGGATTTTTATACCCATCTTCCCTTTGATGTGGTTTGATGAGATTTTGTATGTGCCTTTAGTTAAGGTGATTGCTCTGAATTCTGTCTTCCTGCCTTAATGGTTTAATCCTGTTCCTGGGTCTTTGTCTTTCTTATCCTGGGGGGGTAATTCTGCCAGGAAAGAGGAAAAGGGGAGTTCCAGGGGAGTTATTTTTAGCCTGATTCCCCTTCGCTTAATGGCTCTGCTTAAGTATTTCTATTGTCAGCTCTGTTAGCAGGTCTGCTCTGTGTTTTTCTTTCAGCTGGTGCTTCTTGGTTTTCTTAAAGGGGGAAGGGCTGGCTTGAGTCTCTTGCAGGGGTGAAATGCTACCGGTTCGGACTGGTTTGGCCGAACTGGTAGCGATGGCGGCAGGTAGTTGGGAGAACCGGTAGCGAAAGCAGCGCGAGGCTCCGCCCATTCACCCGGTCGTCATTAAAACCATGTGATGAGTGGCGCGTGCACTTCCAAACCGGTAAGGGAAGGTAAGTAGATTTCACCCCTGGTCTCTTGGCACATTGTTTTGTGAGGTTTCTGGTGCTATGAGGTCCCTGGCATTGTCCCCCTGGGGTACACTTCCCACAGAAGTTTTGCTTCTCATCCAAGAAGCTTCTTCAGCTCTGACTGGATGGTGTAGTGTATGTCAGAAGCTTCCTGGGTGAAGAGCACAAACATCCAAGCTGACCGCCTCATAGCTAAATTCCATGCGGATCACCCGGACAAGCCAGGAGGGGGTGGGGTAACCCCTCGGGGCGGGTGAGGTACTAAACTTGTTATTTATGTCACGCAGGCCCCGCTGGGAGAGTGAAGGGAGAGGGGCCGGATGTCAGCATTTCAACACTGGCATAGAGAGAGCAGAGGAG